TTTTTTTGTGTTTGTGTTTGTATGACAGAGTTCATTGATTGGTCGTTTTGAAACTCTATCGTCGCAAATTATTTAAATTTGATGGAGAGTAGCGAGATGGAGAGAGTGAAGGGGAGATTGGCCAGTCATACATTACATTGTATCATTTATACTGTAAAAATAAATGCGACAACGTTCAATACTTAGCGAGTGTAATTGAAATTGGCTGTATCATTTGGTGTGAGTGTCTGCTGCTTTTTTTGTTTAACATTCAAATCAAATGGTATCTCGTCGTCGTTATTGATGCAGACAGAGAGCTCGCTGGTAAATTTAAGAGTTTAAGAACGTATCAACAAGCGAAAAATTAATTGTATATTCAATTTTTAGTTGGTTTGGTTCCACAGTCTTTTGGTTTTTTTTTTCATCAATGAAAATTAAAGCCCAATCAGACGACAACCAAACTGAGTGTGAATGCAATGCAGTGCACGAACAATGTGTATAGTAGTCAGAGACTAAGTTGAGCCCGAAGAAAACGAATGGCAGAGCCATGGATGTGTATGACGAAAAAGAATTCATGTACATTTTAGATATTCTATCGGTTGCGCTCAATGTCTCAATAGTCAATTGAAAAGTCAATTTGCATTGCAGATGATTTTCAAACCAATTTTCAACTATGCGTATTTGCACGTTATTTGCATTTCGCTCATACTTCTTTTACTTTTGCGTGTTCCATCTATGTGACTCTCTCAGTCTCTCCTTTTCGGTGCTGTCGTTTCCATATTCTAGCCAATTCTTGGTTGATGCTTTTTTTTCTTTTCGGTTCACTTTGACTATACATCACTTTTTACTTAATTTTCACATGTTTGTCGTTCGATTGTTGCTGCCACTGTCACTGCCACTACACCATTGCTATGTGCGCCATAAAATACGCTCTTCTTTTCTTGTGTACTGAGCATTCCAAATGAAATTGACAATGTATTATTATTATTACATGTACTTATTCGAATTGGGGTATTATTATGATTATTCTTATCGGTAGCAATTTGATTACTTTTCCAAGCAATTTTTGCATTATTTCCAACCAATCGTCAGTTGATGTGGTTCGATATTGATGTTTGAGCTTTTTATTTACTTTGTATCTTCGCATTTTTTTTTACCCCGTTCTCATGTTCTCTCACAATTTACATTCACTCACATACAATACGCACCAGAGAAGAGTAAAGAAGAAAAAAAAACGAAATAATCTAAGGGATGTTTAAGTCGTTGACACTCTTCATTTTTGCATCGCTCATAGTTGATGTTGCACACGTTCATTCAACAACGATTTTATTGGTGATATATATATATATTTCTTTTTATTCGACATCGTTTCCAGTCATCATCAGCATAGTTGTTGTCGTTTTCAATTGAAACAGGGGAAACTTTTCAATGCCTCTTCAATGTCATTTCATTGATATTCGGTATGTTCTCCTATCTCACAAAATGTGCCCTATCATGTTTTTGTTATCGATGCTTTATTGAATTATGAAGTTAACGAAGAATTTGATGTTTAAAACTTTATCAACAGTTGAAGCCGAGAGCGGCTCCATTGAATTTTCAAAGAGTTTTTTTTTTCTTTTGCTGTTGAATGTCTTGTGTGTACGGAATTCAGCATACGAACAAAACCGAATTTTCCGTATAAGGAAAATAAGCCGTTTGATTCTAATTGTGAAACAATATGGAACGATTGAATTAACAACATCATTTATTTGGTTGATTGGAACGAAAGACGAGACAATTGCCATTTTGCACAACAAAATTACTTGATATAACATTTTCCATTCATTTTATTGGAAACCAAGATACATTTGAGTACATTAACGCATTAAGCTTTTTTACTATATTCTTTACTGTGTGTGTGTGCATGTATGATTGGAGATGAAAAAAAAACTTTTCCATATGGTGATATATTATTATATATGTAAAAAAAAGTGGCAGTCAGATCGACGAATTTATTTGATCGGACGAGCTGATTTCAATATCTTTGCTCGCCGCATTCTACAAAACAGCTATTAATTCGGCAATTTTTTCCGCCTCTTCTGCAGCATATTTTACGGAAATTTCGATTGAGTTTTTATTTTTGACTTAGCCCACAAAGCGTTTCGTTTCCTTCAGACTGTTTTTTTTCTTCTTGCATTTTGACTTTACATTTGAAACCATTGCGATATCCAATATCTTTTCCGTTTTCTTTTCATGCTTCATATTTTAACATATTTCTCTCGTCAGAATATAAAACGGAAGTCTGTGCATTTTTCAGTTTTACCTTGTATAATATGCAAAAAAAAAGCATTTCTATGGATTTTATAGCCTCAAAAGAATCGTTTGAATTCATTCTATATTGGCGAGAAGAGAGTGAAAAGAAACGAAAAATGAATAAAAAGTTGAACGCAAAAAAAAACACGTTCACACACTTTCGACACTGAAAGTTCACTAGTAAAATGTTATAAGTGTGTTGATCATCTTTTATTCGGCTCTTGATACTTAAGTTGAAATATACCTTGTTCACAACCATCATCGACATAACTCCATTTTTTCCCATCTTTTTGTTCGTTTCCTTTTAATATTTCTGCATTTTTTTCGTAGATTCTCAATTTTCTTCTTCCGTATTCCGAATAAAAGAATGTAGTCATTTTTTCTTAGTCAGTGCTGCAACCATTGCTTGTAAGATGAACTTATTACAGACAATTTCCATCGATTGAATATGAAAGTGCGGTAGTGTTGAGTGTGTGTGCGAGAGAGTCTTTTCCCTTACAAATTCATCTAAAGATAGATAATTCGTTTGGGAAAGAGAAAAATCATGTTAAAATGAAATATTTTAAAAATGTAAAATGCCACCTCTCCATCCAGTGCGTTCAATGTGAATGATGCGAAACGACATGGCTAGAAAAACTGCATCATCACAACCGAGACTCGGTTCCCAATGAAAGGTAGCCAAATCGATACGATGAAAACACATAGAGAAGAAAGCATATGAATTAAAAATATTATGCCGTCTGAAAATGGAATCGGGTTGAAAAAGTTGTGCAACGCCAAACCAGTATGAAATAAATAAAAATTGAATTCTGGAAATTGATGAATACAACAGAAAAAAAAGAAAGAGCTTCAAACGAATTCTGTGTGAGATGATTTTCGTTTTTTGGCCTGATTCGTTTTATGTGTTTTATGTGAACTTATATCTCAAGCAACCAAACACACGGCACATCGACGGTAACAATTTTATTTCCATGATTATTATTATAAGATTTTTTTTCTCCCTTCTGTGGATGTTTTATGTGCTCGTCTCTATGGTGTGTGAGTTCACATTAAGCGAGCTTATGACTGTGTCCGATTACTCTAAACATTTATACCAATTTCGTTCGTGCACGATATTTGATCGATCAATTTCGGAATATCGTCAACAAAAACGTCAGAATATAAAAAAAGCTAGCTCGAGTCTAATACATGTGCAGTTGGACAGTGCCACGAATGTGCATGAAAGCCCAATGGCTTTTTATTTGAATTAAGTCGATCCAATTTCGATAATTTTCTTTCGCTTTTAGCCATATTTATTTCATGTTTGAAATTCGTTTGTATCGCCACCACTAAAATTGCACCGAGACTCACAACAACTGGAAAGTGCTCTTCAATGTGGCCTTCAATATGAAGCTGAACAAATGGAATAAAATAGGAAATAATATAAAAAACACACACAAACTATGAAAATGACGGAATACAAATCCATTGATGTAGCCACAAAGGCTATCGGCCAAAAGGACGCTCTGATCCATACTGAGAACCTAAATAAACATGTAATAACAATACTAACAATAATAGTTATAATAAAAGCGACAATTTTCGTGCGAAAATGTTATTATAGGTTACCACTTTAGTTATTGTGAATTGCCACAAATCGAATCCAAATCGAAGTAAATAATAATCAAAATCGGTTGAGTGTGTAGTTGAGGCGCAGTGGGAAAGAAAAGAACGACCAAATCGTTTCAAAGTGAAACGTTTTCTCTTTTTTGTTGTTGCGGATAGATGAGGTGGAGATGGTTTGGAGGACGGGGGGTGTCGTTTTAAATGAGATATATGAGAGGCGAAAAATACAGAAAATAAAATAAATATTCTGGCAAAGTGAGAAAGTAAACGATTGCACACATACTACAGCAAAATGGGAATGATATGGAACGTAAAACGGAGGCAAAAATTCATTTTGAACCGCACTATAAAATGTTAGTGGACTGTGTGATCGGGGTGATTATATAACTGCCGTTGGTGATATTCACTTTACACGTCATTCGCATCAAGAGTGCAATAACACGTGTACAAGATATTGGAAATGCTTTGAAATTAGATTATTAGTATGTGGGAAATGCTTCATTTTTACGCTTTGTGGGAAAGTGCAGTCCATTAAAATGGAATCCGATTCGCAATCGGAATTCGAATTCAAAAAGGTTATGAAATTTTAGCAGCATTTTTCGATGATACACCACACACATATGCAATGCTTTTAAAGCTTTATGCCATCCAATTCTTTACTATCATTTTCCATTTATTAATATTTCGTATGAAGATCCACTCTTTGCCCATCTCTTTTTCACTCTGAACGAAGTAATCCTCAATATTATTATTTTATTTCTTTTTATTTGCTCTCTCGTCCGCTCTGTGTGGTTGTCGGTTCTTTTGCACTAAAATGACCATCGACAATTCAATTGAAGAGACACAGAAAGAGAGAGAGACACACACACACACGCAGAGAGAGAGAGAGAGAGATAGAGATAGAGATAGAATATTTGTGTTGATTTTTACCAAGTTCCTAGCACTTATATTCGATGAATCCAGCATTTGTCGCAAATGTGCCACATTCAATAATATCAGACAGCTATCGATTGAATTTAAGGAAAGAGAAAAGAGAAAAGATTGAGATCAATTGTTTTATCTCATATTGCATTGGTATTGAGAGCTCATCTCATTTTCTATTTGTAATTTTACTTGAAAATTAGGAAGCGGATATAGCTATTGCACCGATGACCATAACAGCTGAACGCGAACGAGTTATCGATTTCAGTAAGCCGTTTATGTCGTTGGGCATTTCGATTATGATTAAAAAACCAATCAAACAGAATCCGGGAGTGTTCAGCTTTTTGAATCCACTATCACAAGAGATTTGGGTAAGCGATAACTACACATTAGAGATGATATCAAGACATTATAATATATTTACGTTTCATTCAATACAATTTTTATTATTAATATTGGATCCAATCATGTCATAACGATATACCATTTGATGTTTATATAGATGTGCGTGATATTCGCTTATGTTGGAGTTAGCATTGTGCTTTTCATTGTTTCGAGATTCTCGCCACAGGAATGGCGCATCGTTCAAATAAACGGTAATGCCAACACAATATATTCATGCTTTCATTTTGTTTTTTATTTAATCCGATCAATCATTAAATTAAAAATTAAATTCATTTCTAATTTTTAAACGATTATGAAATTTTCATTTTGTACCATTAAATAAATGATTAAAATATCTCTATCGTTTTATTTTATTCTTTGGTGTACCGATAAAGGTGATGTGAGCCACATATCCGGTCAAGTGGCAACTCAGCCAGCTGTTAATGAATTTAGCATATCGAATTCATTTTGGTTTACACTGGGCGCATTTATGCAGCAAGGTTGTGACATATCGCCGCGTTCAGTGTCCGGTCGCATTGTTGGTTCGGTATGGTGGTTTTTTACACTCATTCTAATTTCATCGTATACCGCCAATTTGGCTGCATTCTTAACCGTTGAACGTATGGTAACACCGATCAAATCAGCCAAGGATCTTGCCTATCAAACTGAGGTCCAATACGGAACTCTGCTGTCTGGCTCAACAATGGATTTTTTCAATGTAAGTACACTGCAATAGCAATATCAATAGGTTCTTTGTCAAACGATAGACAAAAGAAAAGGATTGGAAAAAAAGTCGCCGACTGAAATGAAAATGCAAATTGGCCATTCGACGGTGAAATACGATTAAAATCGTTTATTGCAACGGAGCATCTAGCGGATGCACGACAAAAAAAAAACACCAACAACATATAGAAGCGATAGAATGTTCTGCGGGTACATACTGCAGAAAAATTCGAATTAATCTATGCTTTGCATCCGCTTCGTGCATTCTCATGAGAACCGCACTTCTTTTATGGATTTGAATATGTCGTTTTATCGCATTGCTTTGACATAAATTTGAAAATATCAGCAAATTGACATGGTTCAGCATGCAGAAACAGATAAATTCACCAGAAATATACACATTAACCAAAGCACTTCTACAGCTGCTATATAGCCAAACGAAAATATAAAATGGAACCGAGCAACAGAGAAAAAAACAACAACAAAACACACACACACACACAATATGAAAAAAAAGTGCAGCAATGACAAATCAAATAACGGATAAACGTAAAACAACAGCCGCTTTTCTTATTGAATGCTGTTTTTCGCATAGTTGTTCTGTTGAACACTCAAAATTGATCCAACTGCAGAACACCGGCAACATAGAAGAGACCGAGTGAGAGTGAGAGAGAGAGAGAGAGAGAGAAAAAAACACATCACATTCCAAAACTTTTTTAATTTTCTCTGGCTTTTGGTTTTCATGTGCAAAAAAGCGAATGTATATATATACACATCATTCAGTTCGTTTTGTATGTTTGTTCACAAAACTTCAATTCAAAAGAAATATCGCGTACCGTCAAAGAAAGCATTGGTTCCACCAAAAACAGCAGCAGCAGCAGCAGCAAATTGCACACAAAAACCAGCACCAAAAGCGCTTTTGCAATGTCAATGAGCGAATCGAGAACAAAAAACCGCCGTAAAATAAATGAAAAGAAAAGGCAGAGTCTGAACACAAACATAAACTTCTTTAAATGAAAGCAAATACATTGAGAGCAGGACAAACCGGGAAAAAAACGAGAAAGAGAATTAAAAAAAATCTGATTTTCTATGGATTTCAGAGCAATGAAATAAGGTGCAAAAAAAGTGTAGAAAGACAGATGGGGAGAGAGAGTGTGGCGGGAAGGGAACTTGGTGTCCAATCAAATTTCAAGCGAAATTGCCGAAACTGATGCAGGATCTTATCGGCGCCGTTCTCGTAAATGATTCAAATCTGATAGAACCGTGTAAAGTTTCGTTTGCCATTCATTCTATTATTATTTGTTTTTGTATTTCACTTTTTTTTATTACCGTCAATTCCATTATAATTTTACCCCATCTCCGTTAATCATCACATCTAATACGTTCCATTTCATTTTGTTGCGTGGCATTTCGTGTTTGTGCGCGTCTTAACCTTGATTGCATTTTTTGGTTTGACGAAATATTCCTTTGTTGACGGATCAAGTCGTAACGAAATGTAACGATTCGTGTTGTGCATTTGAATGCCAACATCATGGCATGCAAATTACTTTCCTCTCATTCCCACCATTCGCAGATAAAAAAAAAACATTGAAAGAAAAGAAAGCGAAAAGAAAAAGACGAAATCAAAACAGAAATCTGACGATTCATGTCAATTGCGTCAGCTATTCGAAGATTTATACAAAGGTGAATCGTAAAATGTCGAGAAAAAAAACAAAATTTGGCCATTCCAAATAAACTACGGTAAATTGTCCAGGCAAACCCAATTCCAAAGTGTTAATGTGTGCACACAATTTCGTGTGTGGCGAGAAAGAGAGAGAGAGAGAGCGTGAGATAAAGGGAAGTGAAGAAAGTGAGAATTGTACACACATACACAAACAACTGTTAAAAAAATACATTCGAACCAACGGTGGGTGAATGGGAAATGTGTTGTCATCAAATACAAACTGCAGAGTTGGAAGAGACGTGAAAACGTGGATATTTCCCGTGAATTAAGAGCTACCATTAAGAATTACAACAGCCAATAAAGTTTTTATTTTCCACAGAATCACAAATTGCCCCGTATAATCTCTATTTCGTCCATTAATTATTATTCCAATGCTGCACGTTGTCGACACACATTCGAATCACCAGCAACAAATTCAAAGTGGGATTGTTAGTCCCTCCGTTTGTGCGAACAAGCAAACAAATCGACAAAAGCGCGAAGAAAGCCTACTGCAAAAGTTTTATGACGACTCGGAGAGAGGAAAAAAAAGGTTAATTAAAGCAGCGACGCAACCGAAGATTGGACAACCACTTAAGCATTTTTGCTGTTGAATTACTTTGGAACACACTTGATGGACGACGAAAACACATTTGCCCACTCAAATGGAAGCTGTCATAATCTTTTTTATTTAGTTCAAAGCAAAAAAAGAAAAACAAAAAGCCGAATCAACAATACGAATCACAGATAATTATCGCACTCTCGCTATTTAGCATACCATTTCTATTGTAATGGTATTGAGAAAAATCTTTTGCCTTTTCATTTTACATTGCCTTCCGTTTGCCGTTTTGACGAATGGGTCGTTTTTCTTCTTCTTCTTCCTTTTTTTCGGTTCAAAATGATTCTAACCAGTTTGTTTATTTCCAGAAATCGCCAATCGATTTATATGCTCACATGTGGAAGTATATGTCATCACGGCCCGAAGTCTTTGTCGATTCGTACGAAGAAGGAATCCAAAGAGTACGCAATTCAAAAGGCAAATATGCACTATTAATCGAATCACCGAAAAATGATTATACAAACGTACGAAAACCATGCGATACAATGAAAGTTGGCCAAAATTTGGATAGCAAAGGATTTGGCATCGGTACACCATTGGGATCACCTCTCAGGTTTGTTGAAAATCATTTTTTTCTCCAAATTGAAGTTCTTTATTAGCCGTACATTTGAAAAATTGTATTCCAATCGATTCGACATAATAATTCGTCAAATACTTCCACATCTAATTGAAATGAAAAAAAAAATCTTTTCGAAAACTTTCGACACTGATTTTGAATTTTAATAGGCTGACCGCACAATTGTAGCGCACACAAACGTATGTTTTCCGTTCATTCTTTTATTTGAGTCGTTTACGAACAAACATTTCAATTTTGCACTTCCTCTCTGTCACATGGCGATTTGAAAAGTTTTGTCGGTTGCGCAGAGATACACATATTAAAAAAGATGATACAAAAAAAAATTGTCGCAAACAACACCAACAACAACAAAAACAGTAGAAAAACGATGGCATATAAAAAAAAATACTTTCAAAAGTACTTACTAATTCTTCTGTCGCTCTGTCACAAAAAGCAGTTCATAAAAGCAGCGCATTTCAAGTCAATTATTCCAAGAATTTAGTTTACTCAAATTCAAAGAAAAGCACGAAAGTCTGAGATAGAGAGACATATCGAGATCGAATGGAAGAGACAGAGAGATAGTTGGAATGAGAGGAGTAAGAGCACGAGCGTGAATGAAAGAGAAAATGACAGCGGGAAGATACAAGTTTATTGCGAGCGACTTTGTTCGTTTTCACATACACGGTCTGTATTCACAGGACGTCAACCAAAAAGTAGAACGAAAGATGCACAACCATTAGACGTACACCCAACGAGCGAAAGACTAATGCAAATTTTAATAAAGTCATAAATTAAAGAAATATTTTTTGATTAAATACATTCATAATTTTTTTTCTTTTTGGGTAACGAACGACAGAACACGGACAAAGCGACGGTAAAAGAAAACCGAATAAAACGAAGAATTTGAGCACAAAACAAAAATGATAATACCAAATGAGAAGAGAGTCTGTGAACGAAAATTAAGTGAAAAAAAAAGTCGAGCAAAATGACGAAAAAAAAACAAACAAAAGAAAAAAAATTAAAGAGAGCGAGAGAAAAGGGATGCAATTCTTATGACGATAAAAAAAAGGTAGTCGCTTTTATTGGTGCATCTCACGAAATGAGATGGAGCAAGAAAAGTGAAAACCGAAAAATTTCTCAAATAGGAAAAAGGAAGAAAAATGACGACAGAGCCGAAAAACAAAAGATATTTTACTTTTGCTGTAAGTAAGTAAGTGCTGCAATTGCAATTTCAACGCAAAATGCTTTTTGCACGCAACTCAAGCAAGAACTAAAAAGAGCATACAAATACACATCACTTGCCATACACATTATACAAACACAAACGTCACTGCACCCCAAAAATGTACTATGCTTTCATTCTTAGTTTGTTTGTTTTTTTTTTCCTTCATTCACTTGGCATACATCTCTCTTGCCACTTTTGCTTGGTCCTCATGATCCAATGAGATATCAGATGCTAAAAGAAGAATATACCCAGATAAAGTGGAAATGAACCTAAAAAGAGTTTCAAGACATAGAGAGAAAAATTAATAAGTGAAAGATGAAGGGGAGAACAACAGTCAGAAAATGCAACGCAACGTTAAGTCATAATAATAACAATTCGCATAAATAATCAAGTGAACATGTATGTCTATCTAGTGCGGATTCATTGCCGAGAGCTTGTCGTTATATGTGCGAACGAAAAGTGTGTGTGGCGCGTGATATCATTTCTGGCTTTGTATTCCTGTGCTTTTTGTTCTACAATTTATCTACACAAAAGAAATTAATTTCAACTTGAAGATTCGCAACCAATTGAAGAGTGAAACAGAGAGAAAGAGAAAAAAAATGCCACACCAACACATCAATTTTACGAATTCGTGAGATTTTTTTACCCCACACTCACACCCACACGCACTTACAAACTCTGTTCGTCACATGCGGAAAACCGTGTGTTGGCGACATTCACTACAAGTACTGCAAAAATGGCTATGCACTGCACGGCTGTTGCCATTCAACTTCTGTTGTAGAAGCGTCAAATTATGCTTTTTGTCATTACAATTTTGTCGCCATCAACCACTTTGAATATTTCTTCGTATGCTTGCAATTTTTTTTTTCACTTTATTTTGCCAAATGTGCAACATTCTGAACTCAACTGGCAAACAAATATGATAGCATTAGTGTATAACTATTGCGAACTTCAGAAACTGTATGTGAGATTCGGAAAAACACGAAAAGAACGAAAGAATGAAGAGAAAAAACAACAGAAGACAGAATTACATTCCTGACTTTACCCATTTTTGGAGAGCTGATCGACAACGATCAACACTCCTTGCATCGATGTCTCTGATAATAATCGATACCTATTTATCAATTTCGAAATGGTTGCGATGACGCTAAACTTGAGACTTTCTCCTTGTGCGACCAGACGACATTTTGATTGCATCGATAAATCATGGCAAAGTCAACATTTATTTTAACACTGCATTTTCTTGTGTGACGAAAAATGCATGAAATTTTTTTAAAAATTATTTCCCTCAAACAATCAGTCAGTCAGTCGAAATCGATTTCCATGCTATGGTCGTGAATATTCCACAGTTTGGATTGTTGGATCGCTTAAATTTGAAATGCAAGTCGCACACACCATTTTAATATAAGATAGCGAAAATATTGTGATTATTATAGTAATGAATCATAATAGCTATCATGGAAAATGTTCAAACGTTACCTGCTCGGCTCGATCAAAGTTATCTCTGTAGATATTGTGCCAGTATTTGTTTGTCACATTTTTATTTTCACCTGATTCACCCTCAATGCTCTGTTGTGTCTTTTTCATTTCTTTGTGCGTTCCCTCTCTCTCTCTCTCTCTCCTGACTCATAACTAATATTACAATTTTACAATTTTATTTTAAACATTATTATGATTTCCGTTTGCTTCCTGTCACCAAGTTCCATTTTCTTTTCATATTCAGCTTCAATTCGAAACGTTGCACAAGAAGAGCTATAGATAAAGAATACAAATAAACATAACTTTTATTGCGTTTATTCCTTGTATTTTTCCTTTGGTTTTGTTTTTGTCTTGTGCTGCTTCGTCTTTCAATTTTATCTCGAGTGTGTTGCACTAGTTTCGTTACTATCTATCTTGCTCTCTTTTGAGTCACCAAGAGAATTGCAGCGTGATTTATGTGTGTGTTTGTGTGTATATGTAAAAAGCAAAAAAGCATTTCGAATTGCATTTGGCGCAACGCATAAGAGAACATTGGCTTTGCCGAAGTGAATTCGATCGTCAAGTAACACCATCGCATAAAATTGCAAAACAAAAACAGCCAATCGTATGTTTTATCACAAAAAAAGAAACGAGAAATGTACGTAGTGAAGAAAGCAAATGAAATGTAGCCGAGAGAAAAAACGCACATAAAGACCAACATGCACAACAACAGCAACAAAAATCGAAATGAAAATCGAAAGCCGAACTCTAGCGATGCCAAGCCAGGCAAATAGAATATGAAATCACAAAATCGAATGACGATTAAACCAAAGCAGAAAAATAAAACTACAGCAATGTATATATCTGGTCCTTTTATGTTTCGCTCTATCTCTTTCTGCGCACGAATCGAATGTCAAGATGAACAAAAGGATTGAATGACGGGTGTAAAGTGCACGCGACAGATAAACCAATGCACTTTCATCTTGCACAGCAATGCACACACACACATATACACACCGATTCGAATCGAATGCAAATGCATCGAAATATACACGTACATTTTATGCACGTTCGGCATGCATTTACCAAATGCTCTCGCGCGCCCCATTTTTCTCTCTCGCACACACACACACTCTGACACACATACACGAACTGGTTTGATCGCATTCGCGTTCGGCGATCCGTGGATAGCTAAAAATGAATGAGGAAGAAGAAAAAAAACGTCGAAATAAAACGAGAAATAAAAATGAAATTCGATGAAAGAAGAAAATTTCCGTAGAACGTTTTCTGATAATAACTTCTGTTTCTATTCCTTATTCCTCTGAATCGCATCCGTGTTTTGATTTCCTCGGAATCCGTTGCGTTTTTCCTGTCATTTCCATCGCCCATTCCACACTTTCGAACGTAATTCTGAATCGCATTGCCATTTCCAGTGGATGCATATTTGCGTGCTCGTCTCTTTCTCTATCCAGTCGTCATATTGTAGCTCCATTTGAATCGCTCTTTTGCTCGCGATTCATTTGGTATTCCACTTTTCCATATCTTTTTTGCTCGACTGTCTTTTTTTTTCTCTTTCGTGTTCAGTGTTTCTTTCTCTCGATCTCGTTCGTTTTATAGTTAATTTTTTTTTCATCGTTTCGTGAATATTTCATTGTGCTGGATACTAAGTAAATGTGGATTATTTTACCATGTTGTTCGGCTGGCTGTGTGAAGGCATTAAATTATGTTTTCGAATGGCGAGTATCAGATTGTTGTTGCTCAGTTCATTTCATTGCAATCGTTTCTTTTGTGAGCGTTCACTTTCTCTCTATATATATATATCTTTTTTCACTCTCTCGCTCGTTCGCTCGTTCGCTCTTTGCGCTTTTTTGCGTTTGCCGTTTTTTTTTCAACATCTGCAGTAGCTTCACATTTTCCTTCTTTCATCTATAATAATGCTCATAATAAATTCCCTTTCCAACCCTAATAGCAATCGTATAATCATATTATTTCTTTGCTCAATTTCTGTAACAACATAAACATCCAGAGTGCCAACAATAACAAGAATAATAAATCTCTCTCTCTCTTTAACAGAAAGAAGAGAAAGATGGAGAGATAGAAAAAAAATGCTTCATTTAATTAGTACATCGTTTCTTGCATTGACATCTATAAAATCAAATGAAACGCGATTGGGGGTTAAGTGAAGGCATTTACGCTTCAAATGCATTCAAAATTCTGAACTATGGCGAGAGTAAAATCAATGGAAGAACTTCAACACACAAAATAATAGAAATATATTGAGAGACTTCTCATTTCATTTAGAAAAGTAGAAAAAGACATATTTGTGCACGTTGCACACACATCTAGCCACAGTTCTATTGCGAGAGAGAGAAAAAATTGTTCGTCGTGCTCCGATTTTTGCCGATTATTTTAATTTTTAAATCCGTTTGATGTGGAATGCAATTGGTTTTGATTATTCATCTGAAAAAATTTTGGTTTCTAATTGAGCAGTCTCTGGTGAAACCACTGTATATGTTAACTCCATAAGCCATCAACACATATCGATTTATTGACACAAAAAATAGATTGAAAAACGCTTCTCTTTACAATGTTAAATATCGAACAAACTAATCCGACGTCTGAAAAAAGAGGAATGAAGCCAGTCTGGCTCAAATAGAGATTAACACACATACATGAATCTAATCGACCGTTGAATACACGTATACAAAAGTAAATATGAGCTTTGTCATTTTGTCTGTGTAAGATAGCAATATTTTTGTTTGGTGAATCATGACGTGAAAAAAAAGAAAGTCCTCCACCCCTGGATTAAATCGAATATGAGCGTGCTCGATAAAGCTAACAGTGGGCTTTAGCAATATTGACAAAACTGAATTCAAACATGTTTTAAATTGTGTCAATAATAGAAAGGATATAAGATTTATTTTAAAAAATCCAAAAGGTGCTTTCACAAAAGCATAACTTTTTTTCCAACAGATTTTACCGACGATAAATCGACTATTTGGTGCCCATTTTATTAGAAACAAAACGCAGATGAAAAAAATACAAAGCAAAATGGTAATCGCTAAACCCCGAATTTTAATCAACGTGGCGGGTTTTTGTAGTTCAATTGTTGTTGCAAGAATTGAAAAAACTACTTCACATTTGTAACTCTTTTTATCAGCATATTACTTATCAATGCATGTTGAATAGTTCAAGCTGTTTTGATTTTCGGGAGAAAAAAACACAATTCGTGAGTGTGGATAAATTGAAATATCAAAAAAGTTATGTATGTTCTGTCGTTTTCATGCAATTTAGTGTTTGTTTATACACTGTCGGTCATCGTATTGGATTTGGTGTATGTTGGTAATATAAACATTGTCACCACCACGGCAAAAAAATATGTTATTTACGTATACAAACGTAACATATTCAACCAACCAACACCAAAAAAATGCATTTCATTCATTTATATTTTATATAAATAAGCTCAGACAAATATGAAAAATATTCGAAATTTTTTATTATGTTTGGCGGACGAGTGAAAGAGAGTAAAGACCATACTTTTTAATTATTAATTATAAATAATGATTAATGAAATGCAATAAAATAGTCATATATGTATAAATGTATACAAGTGCGCATAAAAGCAAGGGAAACAGCGTACGAACAAAATTGCATTTGATGAAATACACATTTTTTTTCTTTATAACGTCATAATTTCAAACGATGTGTGCACATGCCGAGTCATTTAGATCGAACATGAGGCTAAAAATAGCCACTATGAAATATGCGCAAAGAATCGTGTTTTTTAAATTAATTGGAATAATCAAGTTCGAAGAATTTTCAAATGAAAATTATTTGAAATGTTAATCGAAAGCGAATGCATGAAATCCATTGGGGGAACGAATGGCAAGATATTAACGCAACATTGTGACAGCGCTTACTGTGATGTCTCTACTAAAACCACAGTGGACATTTGATGAAAACGTTTTTAAATAGTTTGCTAAACAATTTTTGGCCAACAGGCAAAGAAACGCGTCAAAAATAACGCTGCGCTAGCACTGCCGATTATAAATATATCATAAAAAACATATTGCTGTGCACCCATATTGCATGGAATCGATCTCCTTTTTTTGATCAATTTGTTTTTCTCCCACAATCTTTGTACAGCCAATTAAACATGGAAAAAACTCAATTCATGCAATGTCCAAACAGGAATAAGTTAAAAGGTTGATTAATTAGTTGTCTCATTATGTTGTAATTTTTTTTTTATTCGTTTCTGAGTCCATCATAAAAACAGACGAGAAGAATAATTATTTTGAGGACAGTTCGTTGCCACAGAAATGGTTAACTATATCACACATATTTATATACAGTTTTTAACTGCACATATGTATCATTTCGCATAACCCAACCAACAAAAAAAAGCGCGAAGAGCGCTGTGACAAAACCAATTTTATGAGATTTTCATTAAAATTTATTTTATTTACCATTTCTACGTGTTTAACTGTTTGTCTACAGTTGTTGCCATTATTTTTTGTGTGTGTGTGTGGATGCTTGTTATTGCCCGCCGCCACACATGGAACCACATTCATTGATATGATGATGTGGATATAGATATCGTAACATGAACGAAGTCAACCCTCTATAAAAATTATTCAAAAATGAAATAAAATAAATTAATTTTGTGTTGTGGAACGAGCGTCCGCCGCGTCATTTTGTGTTGAAACTTCAAAAAATATCAATTTTTGACGCTCGCATATCAACAAGAACATCGTGTTTACATTTGGTTACACAATTATGATTCAACAAACACTACAATATATCGAGCTTTTGTAAATTTAAATCACGACAGTGCATTTCAATCTATCAAAAATGTATGATAATAATTTGAATTGACACAAACAAAAAAATGTGACCAAACAAAAACGCGAAAAACAGCAAAATTCGTATCAATGCCATTAAACATTCAACAGTGGAATGCAAACACATTTATAGCGGTCAATGAAATGCCAAACACAATTCATCGGAATGCACACAATTAACTAGACAAGATCGATGCGCAATTGAATCGGCAATTCGTGCCACATCATTAACAAAATAAATAATTCAAAATGTACGTTGATGTTAAACAAAAATTGGCTTCGATTCATTTTGAATACAACGTTAAAGAAACATTTCAACCATAATATCTTCTCAACTATGATTTAAAAAATAAATAAGTGGTGTATTTTTTTTCATTTCATTTATTCTTGTTTATTTTGCAGAGTACCAATAAACTTGGCCATTTTATCGTTGATTGAAAGTGGCGAACTAACGGAGCTCTTCAATAAGTGGTGGTTTGAAAACACTGAATGTGATCCAACCGAGAAACAAGAGACTTCACGCAATGAATTGTCACTGAAAAATGTGGCTGGCATTTTCTTTATTTTAATCGGTGGCTTAATTTTATCGCTTGTCGTCGCTCTTTTGGAATTTATATTGAATAAACGAAACGATAAATTTGTGCAACATCATCAAACGCACACACTCCATCATAACCATCAGCATCATCATCAACAAGCTTCACAAACGTCACAACAAATGCAAACACATCCACAGCATATGCAACACAGCACCGAAGCACTCAAAACGAAGTTAACAATGCAGCCAGGCTGTGAATATGATAACAATGGAACAGCGGTAAGTAAACACAAAAGAAGAAAAAAAATCGTACAAAAATCGAATTTAATAATAGTAATGATAAATAATTGCAACAATGAACAACAAGAAAAAAAAATAATAATAATCGTGAATTCATTGAGGAATTAAAATTTTTGCTTTTGTCATTAAATTTCTTTCATGTATTTTCGTTCCGTTTCACGTGGCGCGCATAACACAGTATTATTCAGCCAGTACTCAGTCAGCGGTAGCTCATTTCGATGCTGACATGCAAAATCCACAACAAATTTGACAACAAAGTCACGCGCACGACGCACGAATTCTCCAACAGCAACGTCCATCACCGATCATCGGAAGCACCGGCAATAGTACTATACGTCGTTCCGTTTTAACGGCAACTATCAATCGTCAACACCAGCATCAACATCAATTGCATCCCGAAATTGACACATGATAAACATCGAACGAAATCCATTCAAACGCATGTTATATACCTCCGTAAATAGCAGTGTGCGACTGTGTCATTTGTTCATAAATTGATGACTTCAATATGAATCATATTCTACCCTCTATCTATCTATCTCGCTCTCACATTCTCACTTTTACTATTTCGATATATGTATAAATATGAATCAACACAAACCTCCCTCCCCCCCCCATCCGACCTCCATCCCATGTCTATTTATCCACATATATTTGACGAAGCGTTTGCAGTGGTTACTGTGATTAAATTCTCGATGGGCTACTCCAACTAGTCAAAGTTTCATTCAGACAGCGTATGGCTTGTGATCTTCAATAAATTGCATTCATTCAAGATCCACACAAACAATACGAGTATGTATTTTGTGTTCGGTAACATAATTTGTCCGTATTAAACATGCAACATGCTTTTGCTGTCAATATTTCAATATCTCAAACAGGCAGCCATTTTAGTCAATTTAAATAGATGTCTGTAGTATAGAAGGCATTCTTCTAAATAAGTTAATTAAAATTTGAAAAAATTCAAAATACATAATTGATTTTGTTGCAATTGAGATTTGATTTGATTTAAGTTGAAACTTTTCCCAAAGCGGACATTCATATCATTTTCAAATTATGTTATTGATGTGATGTGATAATTGAAGCTCATTTTATCACATTTTTAAATGAAATTAGCCACCGCGAAATGACAAAAAAGCCTAGTGACGTCGCTCACAACGTTCAAGTGTAAATATAAAAGATATTTTAGATCGTTGACTGAAATATCTTATTTATTTCGGTGAAATATCTCAAATATCTACTTATATATTGATTATATTTACAAAATATTATGAGCGAGTCCTCTAGTCCATCGATAACCGCTAAAAATGTGTTTAAATTGTGTTTCGGCATTCAGACATGCTTCATTTCATCCGAAATTATCCATTTATATGTATATGTAAACGGTGAAACAATCAATAAGCAAACATTTCACATAAAAATTGCAGATACAGCAAAACGAAAACAAAATCAAAAAACTAAAAATACAGACGAAAAAAGAAAACGAACAACAGAAGCGCACACAATACTAGCATCTACTGCGGAATAATATTTATAACACTAATATAATAATTACAACAAAATATTAGTACTTAGTACTCAGGTTTGATCAAATGACTGTCAAACAATTGAACAACCAATTTGTGGTTTACCATGCCAAAAGTTGCAGTGAAGAAAAAAAAAACAAGCCGAGAAAAAAAGATAAACATTCTAATAGATAGACTTAATTAAGTAAAAAAAAAAAGAAGGAAAATCGCCCAAATTGCCACATCAGGCGATAGTTGTGCGCGACAACCATGCAAATGAAACGTAACAGACTTAAATGGAATGGAAATATAATGGAATCGATGTAAATAGGGTGATCGTGTCGAATTTTCTTTTGTATATGGATGAAAATAGACTGGACAATTTATTTTCAATTGTTGGTATATGATAATGTTATATTGTTAGTTTTCAAATACTGAAGTTAGTGAACGAAGAAGAAGAAAAAAACAACAACCAGACAGAAATTGATTGGAAATGTTTTGATCGATTCGATCGATCGAATTAATAAGGCTCTGAGTGATTAGTATAATTAAAAATGGTAAAGTTGATGAAAAAAAACACAAAAATAATCAAAAGTAACTTAAAACACTGTTCGAAATCATACGGAAAGCATAAAGGCTACTTATATATTGATAAAGATAATTTGTATCTAAGTGAACGTATAACATGAAATATCAGCTTACATACTCGTATTCTGTGTTCAATTCTCATATTCAAAATGGCTATGAAAACGGTAATGCATGTAGCATACATAAACGAGCACATTAACCATTTTTCGTTTGATTTTTTTTTTTTTTCAAATTGTATACTTTGATTTCGAAATGGAATATTTTCGGTATAGCATAATAGATTTAAGGGCAAACAACCTAACCACTTGTTGGGGGAAAAATATTCTATTTTCTAAGTCAGATAAGCAACATAGACAAAGCAAAGCATGAGAAAGATTATGATAAAACTAAAGATAGTGTCTGTAATCAAATGCATCAAATGTGTGTGTTTTTTTCTTAAGAGAAAACGTTCATAAAAAAAACGTAGTGTTATATGGAACGCTGGTAATCATATATGTTTTAATATTTCATAATAAAATTACGATTAAAGAAAAAAAAGAAACAAACAAATTTACAATTTAAACATAAATAGTGTACTGTATAATATGTGCACAAGCGTTCGTTTGTTGAGTTATATTCCGCTCATAGTATGCAATAAAGTGCGGTGTTAACAAAACAATTGACAAAGGATTGATCTAGATGCATCCAAATTATATACTTCAATAAAGTGATGAATAATGACGTATATCGAATATATCAGATTGTCGAAATCGACTCTCATTCATCGAAAATTCACTGAACCGTATTATACTATAGTTTTCGTATGAATTTGCGGACGGAGACTCAATAATCGAACTTTTGTGCATATCATTCCAATTAACATTACTACAATTACATGGCATTTGAATAAATGTAATAAATAAAATAGGAATATAAAAAAGAATCCAAAATATAATGAGAGACGGAAACAATTTTTTTTAGATTTAATGATGGACTACACTCGAATTATGTACATGAAATATTATCAATAACACATTATTAACATTAAATTAAACGCATAAACATAATCTAATCCGTGAGAAGAATTTAAACAATACCATAACAACACTGTATGTCAACAAAATGAACGATTTTTATGTGAAACATAAACTTTTATGAATTAAAATGAAATCATTCATAAATCGTAACAAAAAAATAATAATAATAATTTCCAAATAAAACGAGGCAGATTGAAAATCATGAGAGTGAAATAAGTATTAAAACATACAACATCCAAAAAATCCAATTCATATGCATTCTTTGTGAACATAACACGAACACGAAATATCCAATTGCAAATATCGTAATTATCGTGAATATACAAAAATTTACTGTTAAACTTTATCATGGTATAAATATATAAAATATTAAAAAGCCAAAGTAAAATATCATATGTCTCTCTCTCTCTCTGTGTTTTATCATTTGACTTTTAGAATGGTATTTTAATACATTTTTGCGATGCGTTCATGGCTGTCTAATTTGAGCAACAACAGCAACCAAAAACAACGACCGAAAGCGAGCGTACTTTTTCATTTGCAACATTTACGGATCACAAATTATTCAACCGCACATTGCCATTTAACATATTACTTTGATTCTAATTTATTCATGGTGTTTTTCATGTTTTTACCCATTGAATGTGTCGAAAATGTGTAATGGATTTAATATTTACTAGTATGCAGAACGGACATGTTTGGTTTTCATGACTTTTTTTCAGCAATATATATGGATTCAAAGTTAAACAATAAACTTGCGGTGATATTTTTGACAGATGTGGGAACCTCGTCTCAATTTGGTCTGAAATAAAAGTTCTGCTACAACAAGGAACTCTAATAAGCACTAATTTCACTATGGTAAAATCTTATAAACGTGTTTACGATAGTAAAAGCCAATAACAGCTGTAATTAAAATTTTCTGTGTAGTAAAATCGTAATTTTGATATTTCTAGCTCGATAACGATTTAATAAATCTTCACCTTTGTTTCTTTTATAGCTTATGATGTCTTGGATTTCAGGGGGACGGGGGTAAATTCAAAAAGTAGCGTAAGATGTCTTTACAATAAAAAAAAATCAGAATTTATTGGAGGGGGTGATTTTCAAATCCATTCTTTTGGAGAAGACCCTCGTCAGAAATTTTTTTGTTGGTTTTTAGTCATAATTTATAATTTGTATTATTCTCAAATGCGATTCGACTATGTTGCAACAAAATCTGCGTTATTTTCTTGTAATTTTCATTTGTCCAATGAGTAATTCTACCGAAATTCGTATTGTGTATGCGCGGTCTTTTGAGCGAAAAGCTGAATGGCGAAAACATGTCTTAATTATCCGATTATGGTCAAGAAAACAAACGATTTGTCTTTTAGAGAGCAACCGGCACTACTGGTACATTACGATTGATTATATGTTTGGATGTCTGTATGCATCAGTGTTAGGTTGTGTGCGTATATATAAATCAACCATTTCGAGTGGATGTTTGCTCAGTGGAAGTGCTTTTGCACAATGACATATCTCTGCTCGTGCAACTTGTAAAATCTTCACTCGACTTAAAATCAAGAAGTGGATGTTTCAGTTGGTTTCTTTCCTTCTCACTATCTGCCCCTCTCCTCCCTTTCTCTTCAAGCAATGGATAGACAAATAAATTATAGATAAAAGTTATTCATAACATGAACTTGGATTTACTTTTCTTGTTCGTTTTCGTTGGCTTTCTTCGTTTCGTTTTGTTGTACTTTTAAGCCATTCTTCATCAACGCCATCGTCATCATCGGGTAAATATATAAATTGCATCTCTATTTTACTTTAACAATTTTCATCAGTGTGCCGTTGCCATTTATGTCACATTTCTTCATGTCTTTCTTACATCTCTTTCTCCATATCTCTCAGTTCTCGATTCGATCAACTTAAATCTGCAGAAACTTCAACATTTGCCCTCTCCCCCACATGGAAAATGCGTTTATTATTATTATCTCCGTTGCAATCATCACTTCAAATCGGTTTTTATTGAGTTGAATTTATTGAGAATTCACTGTGGCTGTTGCATGCGTATGCTATGTAAACAGAAACCATAGCCTCTAGTGCCGGACTTTAAATAGTTGTTTAATATTAAAAAAGCTCTCCAGAATGTGCGCTTCTGGCTTCTCCCCCTCAAAAAAGAAACACAAAAATTTATCTTGAAAATAAATTCCAAAATTAATTAAAGTATTTTGAAAATGATTTAATTGATAGAACAAAGTATATGTATATATGCAGATAGACGGTGCCGTTAAATCGGTTAAATATATGCCGGAAACGAAATTGCGAAAATCATCATCATATCATGCCCAGTAAACAGCTGGAATTCAAACGATACGTACATATATGCAAGTGAAAAATATGAAGACACCGAGGATCATGGTGTTGTAATGGTTGAATGAGCGTGGCAAGTATTAGATAAGTTTTGTTTGTGTAGCATGTGCACTGCATTGAGATAAATTCATGTGAAATGAAGAGAGAGAATGAAAAAGAGAAAATTGGAATAATTTTAGTTGAACGAACGAAAGCAATAGAAATAAAATGAACGAAAAGAAAATAATGAATATTCTATTTCTTTGGTAGCGATAAAAAGAAAAATCGAACCAGTCGTAATGAATATTGGTCTCTTGAAGCGAACACGAACTAATAGTAATATTGTATTAGCGTAACACTATGTAACTGTAATAATAGCAGAATCAACAAAATGACATTCATTTTAATTTCACTCTTTGATATCAAATGTGATAATCTTAATTAGTTCAATAAATTAAAAACGACTATGTGAACCGTGTCGACTATACACCACCACCACCACACACACACACACACAACGCAACTTGGCTTGGGCCAAGTCAGAATGATATGAGCGAACGGTACAGCATTTTTGAATATTAAAAAAATACACACACTCTCGCACTCGCATTCGCACACATGCGAAAACTAAAACGCTTTTATTATTATTGCTACACACAATCCAAATAATTTTGAACGTATGAAATGTCGAAAATGAGCAAAAATCAAATGGTTAACAATTCTCACGTCGTTTATGGAGCGAATAATGAGATTAAAAACTACTGATAGCCAAAGCCACCTTCATCTCGTCTACCCTCCCGTGTTCGCCCATCGCCAAAATCGAAAATATTGCTGTCAGAGAGTGTCTGATATTCGGGCGTTATGGTGGCATGAGCTGAGCAAAATGTGTGCATATTAATATTCAATTAATTTTCATTGTGTGCAAACATTACAATCATTATATACCATTTACATTTTCATGTATGCTCGGCAATAATATTTTACAATCTACACCATTTACGTGTGTGTGTGCGCGCGTATCGTTGGAAGCGATATTAAATTTACCCAGTTTTGTGTCTAGCTTAACGTTTGGTCTTGGATCTTCGTAAATGAACCCACTGTGTTTCTCTTTGGTTCTGTTGATTTTGTATGTATCGGTATGCGTTCAAGTCTTGTATGTGAATTTGTTATGCCTTCTGGATTCATCGATGCATTGCAATAATAGAATATATAAACGAAGTAGAGAAGGAGAGCAGGAGAGTAGATGTCGTCTCCACTCGTAT